TTGTTTTGTAACTGAGGCTCATACCTTTTTAATAGAGAAAAGCGGCAGCTGAACTGGAAATTTGCCAAGCCTCTCTCCTTCTGTTTCTTTAAAAGAGTTCCGTAGATCTAAATAGAAATCTTTTAACATGGGGCTCTCTATTACGTGTTTCTGAGGATAGAAATATTTGAGTCTTGGTAGATCACGGAGCTTCAGAGTAGATAAACGAGAAAGCACAAACCTATGAACTGCTTCATCTCCTTCTTCCAATGCTACAACTTCCTTCATCATCGTGCAGCCTTGTATTTTCAAAACTTCAAGTTGCTGAAGCCCCAATGCCACTGAAGCTGGGAACATATTTTGGAGGTTGCAACAAGCAAAAGCTTCCACAGTCTGCAAGTTCCGCAAAGTGAGAATTCCGCTGGGATTCTTGCTCCACAAATGCTTCAACCTTGGTAAAGTTACCAAAACCAATTTTCTTAACATAGTGTTTACCACAGCATGTGACTCTTCCATATTCAATTCTCCAAGTTCAAATATCTCTTTTAGACTCCCACAAGATACTACCGCCAACTCTTCCACTGATGTCAATAATCTAGCAAGCATATAAGATGGAAAAATATTCAATAATTTATCACAAGAGAAAATGGATAAATTTTTTAGTTTGCAGAACGAATCTGCAGGGAGTTGGTGGTGCCATATGATCCTCAACTTCTTCAAGCCACTGATTTCCAATTGTTCCAAGCTGGGAAACGCAACCTGCATATAATTTGTCAAATTAATCAAAATTATTAAGGGAACGAAATTAGTTACTAAAATTAGAGCCAGAATGAAAGTGAAACAAAAATTTAAACCTTTTCATTAAAGAGGGGTTGTAGACCGCCCGTAACATCTGTGCCCGTATTGACCATGAACCCTGTTAATTCTGGGCAATTTTCTATATCCAATTTCTTCAAGGTTGTGAATTCAATACTATAGTTTCCGGAGCAAAATCTGCCAAGGTTATGAAGATCACTTATACGCAGGATGTTTAACTTAGGAAAAGAAATCAAATCCTCCATTTCTTCTGCATTCTCTGGTGCAATTATCTCTCTCATCCTTTTGCATTTTTCAATTTCAAGGTATGTCAGCTGCACCAGACATTTAGCCATAGAAGATGAAAATAAGTGTTCCAAATGATCACAGGCCTCAACAATCAACTTTGTCAGAGTGTGGATACAACAAGATTTTTTCGAAAGCTGACTGCTCCATATACTTTCAATGTTAAGCGAGAACAAATTCAACTCCTCCAGGTTTGGAAAGAGAATCTGCAAAATGTGTACATTATATTATTCTTTGTCTGAATTATGCCTGGTTCATATGGAAAGATATGAAGGAAAAAAAAAGGTTTTAAAGATATAAAATGGAGCTTATGTTTGAATGTCTCATACAAATCATATTTGTTATACTTCTAATAGAATTACATTCACAATTGAAAAAATTATTTATTTTCATTTTCTTTTATTTTTAAATTTGTATTAATCTTTTCCTCTTTTTTTTTGGTCATCTTCTATTAACCAAAGTGATCATTCACCTTTCTTAACTAACAATTTTACCAAAAATGGAAAAAGAATTAAAAGAAGAAATTAGTGCCCATCAATTATACCTCTAAAAAATTAATAGGAAAATAACTCCCAAATTACATTATTTCAATAAATTCTCATTTTACTTAGGACTTATTTAGTTAGTGGTAATGACAATTCCTTAGTTAAACTATAAAAATAAGCTAAAATTATAAAATTTTCATAAAAAGCTAAGAAAAACCTTAACGTCTAACTTTCCATTTATATTTACAAATAATCAAAGAATTCCTATTTTCCTTAAACAATGAAAGTAATACATATTCCTCATTCATTTATTAATTTAGTTAAAAATTATAAATATTAAGGCTGAGTTATAATTGCTTCCTATAGAAGTTTCTTTTAAATGTAACTTGTTTTTATGATTTCACCACAAAATGCCAATGCTACTAACCAAACATTGCCTTATAACACCTAGCTAATAGATAGCTAGAACTCCAGAGTGCCTACTAGTTAATCTGTTTAGGGTTTATCTACAGTATGCATATTCATACACGCACACACATACTCACACACGCAAATATATATATACACAAACACGTATGAAAGAAAAAGCTAAATACCTTTTCATTGAAAAGTGGTGCAGGCCTGGAAGTTGAATTATTTGTTTCCTCATTTCCATGGCATAATCTAATAAACTTTGGCAAATACTGCAATTTCAAGGACCGTAGCTGGGCAAGTTCAAAATTTTGATCTTCTTCTGCAATATCAATATCATTAGTGGCACCTTGCCTCTGCTCTTTAATAAACTCTAACATGTTACTGCAATCTGTTACTCTAATTTCTTCAAGTTGGAGAAGCCGTCTAGCTATGGAGAATGGGAACAAACTCTTGAGCTGCTTACAACTTTCAACCGTTATAGTTCTTAATCGTTTGAAA